GTAAGCTTGCAATCTCTCACAAATTCATTTGAGACCAGGCGAGCTTCATTGTATGAATTTCACACCCAGCAGTGACCCCTGATAATTGACTCCATACATCTTTAGCATCAGAAATTTACATAATATGTAGGAAATGATTGATAGCTCCTGTAACCCAGCCTGTCTAACACCCCATCTACCGGGTGCCGCGTGTGCTGCCATCCGTCTTGTGCGCGGCAATCTGTCTCGTTCTGCCCTGCATCACAAGCGCGGCAGGCCCTTTCCCTCTCTGTCCCCCAGCTGCCCCCCAGCCCCTCCCACGCCGGCAGCCCTTTCCCCTTCTGTCACGTCAGCACGGATCCTGTCCCTCCGCCACGTACAGCAGCGGGCCCACGGGGGCTTGTCAGGGAGGCACAGGCCTGCGAGAGGCACGTCCAGTCCCCGGGAGCCACCCTCGGATAGGGCAGGTGTAGCTGCTGCGTGCTCTGCCCAGCACGGGACCGCAGCGCGGATGCTGCTGGGATGCTCTGGCTTGCAGACCACAGAAAAGCAGGGCTGGAAGAGACCTCAAGCGGACCCATCTAGTTCAACCTCCTGTGTGATACAGGGTCTTCCCTATCCAAGCATCCTGTACAAATCCTTATCTAACCTGTTACTAAAACTGCCCGGTCAGCCGTGTCACACAGCACCCGAACCTGCCACAGGTACAGCAGGGGGACTGTGCCCCCACTGCCAGGGAAGGCAAAACCCCTCGCAGTGCATACCCGTCTGAACATGGGGTAAAATTTCTTCCTCGCCCCAAACGTGGTGATCGGCCTGACCTTGAGCAGAGGGGCAAGACCCTCTAGCCAGGAACCTCCAGGTTTCGTTCCAGCAGGACCATTGGCAGAGCCTGAAGCCCCCAGCTTTGGTTGCAGACAACTCCCAGTGCTTCTGCGGGGGGTGAAATCTCCCCCTCAACTAGCAAAGCCCCAGAAACGTGGGGAATACCCATAGTAGAGCATAGGCCTAGCTACCCCTAGATCTTCCCTGACCAATGCATGTCCATCCTCTTCTTGAACACCTCTGGTGAGGGGCTAACGGACCCAAAGAGCCTGTTACAAATATCTGCTTGAGTGGGCTGAGTGTGCCAACCCTGCCCTGCTTCTCTGGCGTCTCACCTGAGCCCCAGACCTAGTCTCCCCTCCCTGTGCGGTGGGGTGCATGGGAGAGGGCAGTTTTGGTCTGCCCCATTTCACAGCCAGCACAGGGAGGGGGACGGTTAGGTGATGTGCCCAAGACTCCAGCAGCGCACTGGCAGAGGAGGACATGCTCCTCCGGCCCACCTCGGGCAGGTAGTCTGGGTGCCTTCCTGAAAACATCAGCACGTGGCATGAAAGTGACTGCCCACGTGACTAGTTTACCAGGGCAGATCTGCCATGCCTTAGCCACGGGCTGACCTGGAGCTCCTTCGCCCAGAGAGCGGAGGGAAAGCGGCCAGAGACTTCCAGTACTTCCCAGTTCCACTGTGGGAGGAAATACCAGACGATCCTGCTCCTGCTACCAGCCTGGATGGGAAGTGTCGGGCTGTGCAGAAACTGGTGTGTGGTCCATGTTTGCATATGTGCATGCAGAAGTATGCACACGTGTGTGTGCGATGGTTTCAAGCCCTGGCAGATGAAGTAGGCTTTCAGACCAGCCTTTATCTGGACTTGACCGGTCCCCGCCGCCCGAGCCTGCTTCCATCCGAAAGAAGCACGTGCCAGCCCGAGCCGCGTTGAGCCTTTAGTGTTAACTCTGGCCGGGCGACCCGACAGACGTACTGTCCACTGCGGGGATCTGTTCTCGGCTACTCTCCGCTCCTCCCCGGCTTCGTGCTCGCCGCAGCTTGCGTGGAGGACTGAGCCCGTCTGCCCCCATCGGCAGTTTTGTGTTGTTTGAGAGCGGGCTGCTTGTTATTCAGAAGGGGCTGTCGGGAGGCTCCGTGATGTCTGTGTCTGATGCGCCGTGGATCAGATGAGCCTATCTGAATGGAAGGGTTGGCACGGGCAGCAGGATTTGTTTAATCACATTCCACATAAGGTTCGAAGGGAGGCGAGGGGGCCGCTTGTTCTGGCGGGCAGAGGGGTTTCCCTTGCAATCGAATCCCCCTGTGCGTGGAGCTGCCTCTTATCTGGACTCCAGCGTTCCCTGCAGGGGCCTGGCCTCCTCCGGCACTTGATACCTTGACGCAGCCCAATGCTGATAATATTAATGGGGCGTTATCTCGCCTCGTGCCTCCATCAAACACAAATATTCAGGAACTTGCTGACCAGTTCTTCAGCCTACATCTCCCCCGGGCCCGGCAGCTTTCCCGTTGGCAGGCCATTGCCCTGGGCAGAAGGAGTTTGCTTTGAACGGCTTCGTTAGAGGAGCCCACTGCCCACCTAGCAGCAGCCAGAGAAAGGGGGGAGCAGAGAGGGCGAGCGGGGCAAGGCAGTGCTGGGGGGAGCCGACGGCTGGGATTTGCAAGAAAGCTCCTGCCGATGTCGGGGACTGTCCAAGGGCAGAGCAGCCTGCAGGTGAAGCACGGAGCAGGCCCCGGGGCGAGTTCACCTGTGCATGCCGGGAGACCAGCTCTGGGGTCAGGGTAGTCTGGGCAGGGGAACATGACTCGTTCCTTGGAGCCAGGGGTGAGGGTTTGGTGCCTGTAGTATCTGGGCAGGGGTGGTGCTAGCTAGTGGATGGTGAGAGCTGATGAAGCAGGGTGAAAATCCCCTCCATGGGCCCTGGGGCTGGGTGAAGGCAGCTCCACAGAGCCTGGGTGGGGAGGTGGGATAAGCAATGTGTCCCACCTGGAGGGCTCCCAGACCCTACGTCCCTTGGATCACTGGTCTGTAATCAGAAGCAGCTACTTCCACCTTCTCCTCTCCCGCTTGCCAGCTCCTCACTTTGCAGTCCCACCACAGCCTGCAGCCTGGGAGGCTGGAGCGGGATCCGGGCTGCTGAGCCGGTGTGGATCACACCTGCTGCGTGTCGTGGCCTCCGTTCCTCCGGACAGATGGGCAGGGAAGGCAGCGCATGCAGTTCATCCCGTCGGGACATCTCCGGGGCTGGGAGGCTGAGGGTGGCCCCGGGGCACAGTCTGACATACATGCAGGTAGTGACCCCCAGACGTGAGACTTCAGCATCCAATTCTTCCAAAAGCAATTAATAGAATTTTTCCCCTTTAGATTTTATGGTTTATGTCTCTTCCCATAGACTGAAGGGCGGTAATTAGAATCGGTGTTAGCAGGTAAATTCTAATGAGGTTTTCATGGCTGGAATATGTACTCTTTCGGGATCCCCGCAGCAGACAAAGGCCTCTGTGTTTTGCCACGTTTTACGGCGCAGGTATAAATTTTTACAGATGTTCTTGCCATGGTACAAGCCGATAACTGCCGTGCGTTTTGGTGTTTGAGGGCATGGGAGGAGAGGCAAAGCCCTCTCGTGAGAGCTTGGGACTGGGATCCGGGACACCCGGGGCGAGTCTTGTTGCTGCCACTGGCTGTCTAGCCTGGCTTACTTAAGTGCCCTGTGCCTCGGGGCCTGGATCTGTAAGATGGGGTTGGCGATGCACTCCTGCTCGGAGACCTGGGTGGAAGGTGCCAGGCGAGTGTTCGCTTTATCTCAATGACCCGTCTTCACCAGGGGCTAGGCTGGCTGCTGGCTGCTGAGATCGGCCCATTTGGGGGCAGCTCCGCGGCAAGAGAAAGCTGCTGCTTTGGGAGCGCGTGGCTGGAGGGAGGGCTGGAGGAAGAAGCAGCCAGGCCAAGGGCCCAGTGACTGGGCTTGCCTGGGGTAGCAGGGTGGAGACAGTGAGGTGGTCACTGCAGGGAAGAGGATCTATATTTGTTTAATTGAGGGACTGGGGGGCACCAGACACATCCAGTACCCGGTGGCTTTTTGCTGGGCATGCCAGGCAAGCATAGGTGCCAAACACTTGTGTGTTTGGGATCCGTGGCAATGCGCCTTCCAGTGAAGTCAGTGGATCTGGGCAGCGTGGCCTTTGGGTTCTCGGGGAGGCCCGGGACATGCCACCGGCCCCCTGCTTCCCCAGCCGCTCTCCTCCCCAGTCCCGGACCCCACGGGCAGGCAGCAGCAGAGCGGACGAGTCCCGTGGCAGCTCCTGGGGCCACGCGCTCCCCTCGTGACATTCACAGCCACTAAGGCGAAGAGGGGTGAGAAGGGAGGGATGAAAAACGCAGGCGCACACGCGTGGCTCCAGCGTGGTGAGCCTCTCCTCGTCTCCATCTGTCTGTTGGCTTGGCCGCCTCCCTGGATTCTGCTTTTTCTTTGAGCTGCCTTTTGCAATCCTGCGTCTGCTGCGCAGTTTCACCCACACGCAGGTTAGCGTGCTCCGAGCCCGACTCCGTCGGCATCCATAATTCTTTAATGAAACATTTCCCTGCACTTGAAGTGAACTGTGCATGATTTACTGCGGGACACACAAAAGGTCAGTTTACTTAATACCAGCACCTTCATTTTTCCAAATTCGGCTGAAATTAAAAAGCCATATATATCTTAAAAATCTTATTTATGAACACTTAAGTATAAGTAAGTCATACTTGGACTGCTTCCCTCTTTCCTGATATATGTAATCTGGCAACGACACAGACTTAGAATAAAATCTGGCAATACAATATGCTGCACTTTACTATTTTGACACTACCACTGTGATGTTTTTTTTACAGTTACTGATGAGCTTATGTCACTGTGCATTTTGGGAAAGAAAGGGGGGGCAAAAAAAAAAGAGAAGAATATTGATTAGCCGAGTTCCCGATGAACCAAACGAGTTCCTTGGTCTTATTTGTTTTATTTTATTTTATTTTATTTTGCATTGGGTACATCGTTCCTTCAATTATTCATGCAACCGCCTTGTCAATATTGCCAAGATGTCTTGGCTTCCTAAGGGAGAGAAATGAATTCTGGGGAGAAATCTATGTATGGTTTTAAAACAAATGCACCAAAAACATCTTTTTTTTTCTTTTCCCCCCTTTTTTATTTTTGTTTTGTTCCAGAAGGAGCTTAATTCTGTTGCTTCCGAGCTGGCTGTGCGGCGGGAAGAGAGTGAACGTTCTCATAAACATTTAATTGAACTCAGCCGGGAATTTAAGAAAAATGTACCTGAGGTACAGTATATTTGCTGTTATGGAATTAACTCAGTAGGGCGGCGTATTTTCCTCTGCTCAAACTAGATTGTGAAAACTGTAGACATAAGTGACTAACAAGAAAGGAAGCTAATTAGCCACAAAGACAAATTATAGTCCCCAACCTTCGGGTATTCTTATGGCTTATTACCGCAGCCTCCAGCGGTTCCATTGTGGGGAAAGGATCCTGGAAAGCACCGAGCCCCTCTCCGAGGCACTGTGCCCCTGCCCCCCGCGCCGGGCTGGGCGAGCGCAGCACCGTGCCAGATCAGGCCCTCCCGCGCTGCCAATAAAAGAACTTTGGGTCTCGAGTAGTTTATAAAAAGCAAGCGTTGAACGCGCCGAGCTGAGCTCTTGGCATCCAGCTCTCAGCCCAGATGGAGTAGGCTCATTTTAATTTTTTTTTTCCAAACTGAATTTTATTTCAGTCGGTTTGGCTGTTTGCTGGGGTTTTGACAGTTTCGGATGCTATTTCTTGCTTGCCTTTCAATGAGGAAGAGAAACAGGAAAGCCTGGGGTGAGGGAAGCTTGGAAAGGCATCGTCGCCAGGCGAGCGGTCAGTGCCCACCGACAGCCACGGCCGGCTGGCCTGCTGGGTGCCTCGCATCATCTGCCCCCTAGCTCCGTGGCACCTGAGATCCTCCTGCCCTTCCTCCGCAAGGACAAAGGGGTTAAAGCTCCATCTTGTGTAAGGCTGGCAAGGCTGAAGAGAGAAAAGTCCCTTGCAGTCCCATCTGCAGGGAGCTGCTTTTTCCTCCGATAGGCTCAATCAGAAGCATTGGCAGCGAAGTGCCCAAGCCCCCTGAACTGTAATGGTATTTGTGGGGGTGACTTTGGCAACCGCCAAGCTGCCTCCAGAAACCCATGCTCCTCCTTGCGAGGATGATGGCACCACTGGCCATAGGTCTCCTTGCTGGCTGTAAGGGTTCCTGATCCCTGTGACGCATCCTCTCTTACCCCCCACTCTTTTGTACAGCCCCATCTCCATCCCTGGCACTCACACTTCCTGAGCCTGCGCTTTGCACAAGACCTATAATCACCACTGCTGTCTCTCACCATAGCATCTTTCAGCCCAGAGCATTTAAAGTCCACGATCCATTCTTCAGAAATTGAAGGCAGGGAAGATGGTGGCACCCGTTCAGAAATTGAAGGCAGGGAAGATGGTGGCCTCTGCTGGGCTGCAGCTGCCTCTGGGAGAGAGCTGTGTCACAGCAACCCCGCAGTACAGAGCAGGTCAGGATGGGACTCGGAGACTGTGTGATCGCACTGCCAGGACAAGGGAATGTGTGCAATCACACTACAAGGGCCCAAGCCCCGGTTTGCTCGAGACACTGCTAGTGGGGTGAAAGCACCAGGAGATCATGCACTGCCCCAAGGGTTCGCACTTGGGTAATGAGGCCGGGAGCACAGTGCCCTCCCCAGGGTTGGCTTGGCACTGTCTCCAATTTAAAGACAAGCTAAAAAAGGAAGGTGGCCTGTGTAGCTGGGAGCATCATTTTGAAAGTTTCCCTCCTGTGAATGCCATTAGGAAGTCATAGGGTCACAGACAACGAGGGCTGGAAGGGGCCTCAGGAGGTCACAACCAGTCCAACCACCTGCTCAACGCAGGACCAGCCCCAACTACATCATCTCAGACAAGGGTTTGTCCAGCCGGGTCGTAAAACCCTCCAAGGATGGAGATGCCACCACCTCTGGGTAACCTGTTCCAGTGCTTCACCACCCTCCTAGTGACAGTTTTTTTCTCATATCTAACCTAAACGTCCCTTGCTGCAAGTTGAGCCCATTGCTCCTTGTGCTGTCATCTGCCCCCACTGAGAACAGGCCAGCTCCATCCTCTCTGGGACCACCCGGCTATCAAATCCCTCCTCAGTCTTCTCCAGACTAAATAAAGCCCAGTTCCCTCAGCCTCTTCTCCAAAGTCCTTTGCCCAGCTCCCTGACCATTTTTGTTGTCCTCTGCTGGACTCCCTCCAGTTTGTCTACAGATCTGCTCTCTGCTTCATTAAGTCCTACGGCCTTGCCTTTCAGCAAACACCGGCAGCCTGGTGGGGATGGGGGCAGGAATGTGCGTAAAAACTGGGGTGAATTGGGTACCAGTAAGGGAGAGGAGTCCTGGGCCTGATCCGCAGCCCCATGAAGTCAGTGGGAAGCTTTTGCCGGCTCCTGTGAAGGCTGGATCCAGCCCTTGAGGCTTTGTCTAAGAACCGTGCCTCACGCAGACATCTCTTGTGCAAGCATGAGTGTCAGTGCCCTTCTGCTCTGACCCTAGTGAGCGTGCCCATCGCTCCCCAGGGTCAGAGCTGGCAAGGGGGGTTAGCTCTGTTTCCCCGTGCTGGACGTGTGTGCCTGTGCTCTGCTCCTCACTCCCTGCTCACGTAGATGTGACTTGCTCTGTAGAGTTTTCCTGGCTTTAGATGAGCGAGAGCAGGACAGGCTCAGCACCGGTCCATCAAAGGGACCACTTGGGCAAAAGCTTGAGAGGGCCCTGAGCTTGGGCAGCAGGATGATGCCACAAGGCCACTTTCCCCTCACTGGCTGATTCGTGGTTGGAGTTAGTCCCGTAACCCTCCAACTTTCTAGGCCTCTGTCTCCACTTGCCCTGGGCTTCATGCCCCTGTTAGGCACACCCCGGCCTCCCCGAGGGCGAGCCTGTCATCCCTGCTGTGAGTTCTGGCTAGCCGGGGAAGGGCTCAGCCCATCCCATGTGTGCTCCCATTTGAACCCCAGTCTCTGGAGAAGCCTATGCGCTTGGCAGGACCGAACCATCTGCCCTGGGCTAGTTGTACTTGAAAAACAGCGAGCGACTTATCCAGCATTTCAAACTGGATGCAGCTGGAGTTACTGCGGAGCTGGCGAGAGATGCCAGCACAGTGCGTGTCGCTGGGGAACGCTTCACACCACCCAGCATGAAGTGAGCCAGAGGAGCCGGCTCGAGGGCCAGAAGGGGGGCACCGTGTCTATCCCCTATTCAGCCCCGCTTTCGGAGTCCTGCAGGTGCCCCTCGCCCTCAGCGCTCCTGCTGAGCTCACGTGACTTGTTCTCATGGGCCAAACCCTATGCCCTGTACTGTAGGCAGATTAACAGGGCTTCATGCTGAAGTTGAGACCTCTGCAGCTCCGTTAGGTGGACTCCGCTGCAGGTTATGGGCTGAAAAAGCCTGGTTGGTACTGCACCCCGTCCCCGAGAAGTGGGGAGTCAGAGAGCTAGGACAGGGATGACCCCTTGTAAACACAAGCGAGCCGAAGGGAAGCGAGTGGAGAGGGCAGCATAATGCCTGCAGATCATCGGCCTCTTCCCGAACATCACGCCCACTCCACCGATGCGCGTGGGCAGGTCCTGCCGACTGCCGGAGGGGTTGCGTGCATGTTCCCAGAGCAGCCCTTGGCCTTGGGATTTAGCAGATCCTCTCAGGCGGTTCTGAGGCACGGCACGTTGAAAGAAGGTTGGAAGCAGAAATTGCAAAGAACAGTCGGTTCCCAGTAGGTGGACAGGCCGGGGGAGGAAGGTGTTAAAGACTGCCTCCTGCACGGGGAAAGTGGGAGAGTGCGGCATCCCAGTCTTGCAGGTCTCCAGAGACTCAGCAGGGGAGATGGAAAACCTTCTAGCCTGTCCCCAGGGGATGCTATCCTTGAGGAGATCAGATCTAACCAGAGCACCAGCTGTAAAGCTTCAGTGAGCAGCCAGGTGGTTGCCCGTGTCCGTAGTTCAGTGTGCGCTTGGCTGTGCGTGCGTGTGTGTCTGGGTGCGTGTGTGTACACAAATACCACTGGGGAGCTCATGTGATATCTGCATCGGGTGAACTCTCTGATCTCTCTTGCAGGAAATCAGAGAGATGGTGGCTCCTGTCTTAAAAAGCTTCCAAGCCGAGGTAAGAAGCCGGCAGTCACGAGGGGTTCTCTGTCGTGGCGGTGTCTGCGATTAGAACGAACCAGGCAGTGGCGATTAATAAAGCCAGACCCCAGGCCGAGTACTCACTCCCTGCACGGCATGCTCCCCTTTCCAGCTCTCACTGATGGAAATCACAAGCACACGCTTCCTTTGAACCTGACACGGGTATTTAGCTTATCTGTTTGGACCCCATGAGCCCAGTGCCTCCCTTCGCATCATACCTGGTTTGTATTGTGTTCCCCATCTGATTATCTCGGTAGGTGTTGTGGGTATTTTCATGTGTCCTAAGGAATTCTCCCAGTCTAGGTGCCGGCCTGATGCCAAGGGATGTAAATGCCTCCACCGGGACGGGTCGGTGTAGGAGAAATATCACGCTTCACGGCATTTTTTTCCTTAAATGATCGCTCTTCTGGGGGCTGCTTTCTGTGTTCCTCTAATGTGCTTAGATTGAAACCCCTAGAGAGATGTAGGCACTCAGAACTCACCAGCAGCAACACATTAGAATCTGTCATCTGCTGAGCATTACATTATTTTAAATCTGTCTCTTTGGAGCCACGTAACTGCATAAGAAAATATTAAAGTAAACAATAACTGGATTTACACAAATGTGGCTGATTTCCATATTTTTCATCACTTCATTTTATTACTCAGTTTACTGATATGCTCATTTATTTATAGGGCAATCCAGTATTGATTCATTCCAATGCACTATGCATAAACACATAAAAGAGAGTGATAACAATAGGAATACATTTTCAGTCTTTTAAATACTGCATTTTTTCCAATAGCCGTCATTAGATCCGCTATGAGAATATGAGCTGTGTGCTTCGGGGAGTCTGGGAGTGGCTCTGGGTTTACACCTGTGTAAACATGCTCAGGATCCAGTCCCTCGGACTCCACGTCTTATGTGGGTGCTCTCTCTCAGTACCTTGTGTGTCTCCAGGAAAGCTGTTGATTTTTCCCTCCAAGGGGATTTTTAAATCTTAGCCCTGACAGGGAAGGTGTTTAAACTCCCAGCCCTTGAGCACAGGGGTCTGTAGCAGTGAGAGACATCCCACACTTAAAGCAGCACGAAGGGTTGCGTCGCTCGTGGAAAGGAGGGCAGTGGTTTTGGGCACCTTGATCCTGCTCGTGCTGAAGTCAGTGGTAGCATTACCATGGAGTCAGCCAGCGTGGGTGTCATCTGAGGAACGGCAGGCCTTTAACTCAACTTTGGGCAAAAGGCTGGGAGAGGAGCTGGTTTACAGCCTTGGACCCTGGCTCACCCCTGTGCAAACAGGACGAGAAGAGAGTGAGAGGATCTGCGTGGGCAACGCTGTCTAGCTGTGCATCCAGTCCAGTGCTCCACTGACTCTTCTCCTTGCAAACGCAGGACCCGGTCCATCAGCACTTTCTCAAGTCACTGGGATTTGTGGCCAAGTCCAGGCAACCATGCCAGTCTCCTCCTCCATTTCCCTAGGGCAGGACTATGTGAAAAGAAAGACGGGGCAAGTGGGAAGGAGTCTTCTTATTTGGAAGCAGGCACCGTTGGGTGGTGTCAGTCCGCACAGCGCCTTGGACTTCCGCAGAGCTGCGCTGGAGGTGCGCTGCTGCGCTTCCAGCCCGTTGGCGTTGCTGGAGTGACCTTTATTTCCTGCCAGCCGGCGATCCAGTGGATTAGGTGGGGTTGTTTGTGAAAGCTAGAGTAGCCTGGTGCAACACAACTGTCCTGTTGTCAAGACATCTCCTGACTTGGGGGCCAGCCGGCATCGTTAGGGACCCAGTCCAGTCCTGACCACTAGACCTACG